ACTGGCAGAGCAGGAAACCAAAGTATAAGGAAATTGTTAAAGTTACAGGGATAACCAATAGAGTAACTAAAAAGGACACGGTTAATATAAGTGAACTAATTTATCATCTATCATAGAAGAAAATCAATAGTTAATATCAAAAGTTGAGAAATCAATAAGTGGCAGTATAGGTATACCAGTTAGAGATATAAAAGTAACACTAAAACTACAAAAAGGAAAGAAAAAGAGGTAAAAGCAATTCATTTGGAAAGAAGTGATGAGAAAAAAAAATATTTTTTTGTTAACAGTTCCATAATACTGTGTTTAACTTTTTCAACTTTTTAAGTTAAGAAAGTGTAATTGAAAAAAGTCTATTCACAAAACCAACTAAAACCATAAAAATGAACCTACCAAGAAATGTGAACAACCTACATGGAGAAAGCTCTAAATCTTTACTGACATAAGAGAAGGACCTAAAAGAAGACCTAAAATATGATGAATTCTACTATGTTCCTGAAAGAGGGAATCAATGTCTTTAAGTTGGCAGTTCTCCTGAGTTAATCCATAAATGCAATGTAATGCCAATCAAAACCCCAACTAAATGACTTTTGGAACCAGACAGGTAGTTCTAAAATTTATCTGGAATACAAAATGCATGAAAAGAGTCAAACATTTTTGACTGAGAACAATGAGGGAGAACTTGCCTGCACTGAGAGTTCAGAAATAAACTACTAGCTCTGTAGAACAGACTAAAGCACACAGCATTATGGGCATCACCTTCTTCGTTAAACAGAGAAACAGCCATATTCCACAACATGAAACACTAAGAAATGGCCACTGACCTTCCCGCCCTAATGTTATATTTGGACTGATTATGCAAGCAATACGACAACATTCGAACCAAATTCCTACAACCTAGAAAAGGTTGAGGAGGGATTCTATAACTTCTTGGAGAGATCATCTTTTGTTTGCCATAAAAGAACAGGGATACTCATAATTAGGCACAATTCTGTCTAGTGGACAAGAGGCCATGACCTTAGTAAAAACAGAAATGTTAAATTTCTTATCAGGCAATGACTTTCTTGTAACTAATTTATCCCAAACACAAGGCAGTGACTTAATAACAAGTGTATGCAGAAAAAGCAGCAGTATGAATTCTACAGCATTTTTGATCAGAGGCAAAGGACACCAATGTGGACTTGAGAGCCTAATGTTTTCTCATGAAAGATCATCTTACCTAAGAAACTTGAATAGAGACCACTGTTTCCTCTCCTATTTACTATTTACTGCAACAGCCTTCTGGTCTCCAGTGCTCCAGGCTCACTCCTTCCACCATCAGTCTCCAAACTGTTGTCAGAGAGATCTTTCTAAAACTCTAATCTGATTAATCTATCCCCAGCTTAAAACCTTCTGTTGCCTTTTTTCTTTTTCTTTTTTTTTTTCTTGTAATTAATGTCCAAATTTCTTAGCCTGGATTACCAGGTCTTTATTATAACACCTGGTCCTTGCTACTTCTTCAGCTTCAACCCTTGCTTATCTATCTGACATCATCCTCATTATACTTCGAGACTCAGTTCAAATGTTACCTCTAGAAATCCTTTGCAGACTTCTCCACACCCAGGTACCACTGGAATGTTCCTCTGCTACAGTATTACTGTTATTACAGTAATATAAGCATGTCTGTGCACTATACCAGGAGTAACTATAAGAGAGGTAAATTCTTTTATCCATCTTCATATCCCCAACCAGCACCTTGTAGTTAAAGCGCTCAGTCTATCTATATTAATTGTACCCATTAATGATTAGCAGTTGAGAATTCTACAAGAAGCTCTCCATTTTCTTTCCCAAAAAAAAAAAAAAACAAAACAGCCTTGTACAAAGGATTCAAATGACATAGCATGAGGAAAATCACAAATATCTAAATGTAGCAACTTCTAAAAGAAAAAAATCTGTACGATTGAGAAGGGTAGATCCAGGTCTCATGATCTGGGAATTGGATGGCTCAATTCCAGCCACAGATCTATTTCACGTCTTCAAGAAAATTATGCAGTCTCCCTATGACTATTTTTTCTTCTTATAAAAGAATGAGATTGCCATGGTTTCTTCCTGCTCTAGAAATCTAGGACTCGCTCTTATATTGACATCTGCCCTTCCATCAGGCATTCATACACAGCATGCACACTGCCGGCATGTAGGCTATACTAGGCCAAGGGGGAAATTAGTACCAGATGGTACCAAAGTTCTAGGTCAAAGTGTTTTTACTGGCATCCCAGAACAAATACAATTTCTTTTCATTAAAGTATATGAAATATACATTATCCTTATTTGTATGACTATACCATCTTACATTTCTGTGGTTCTTTTCTATCTTTCAAATGCTTTCAGAGACCAGTAATTCTTACAACAACCTTGTGAGGTAAGTAAGAATGTAGTATTACCTCTTGTTACTAAAAAGGAAGCTGAGGTTCAGAACCATAAGAAGATTATAAAAACACCCTCCTACATGCCTCAAGCTTTCTCCTACTTCTGGTTTTATGTTGCAGTTCAGGTCCCTACATCTTCTTGGTGTTGTTCAGAATCACTGAGATGAGGTTTAGTTCATTACACGAAATTCTAAGGTAAACAACAGCAATAACAATAATTTCCTAATTATATGTATAAATACAAAATATAGGAGCAAACATGGGTTTTATACTTCATGGTCTTCCTAGCCTGTGAATAAACATTCCTCAACTTTGTACTCCAGTCAATTGAAGCCACTCCACTAATGTTACTGTTTAACAGTGCAACTCAGATTCCATGATATTTCTGAATCTATCAGTTTCACACACTCAGATACAGAGCTTATCTGCATAATTTAAGATGTTCCTCTTAAAATTGATCTGGAATTCAGAAGAAAGAGTTCTTGAAAAATAGCCTTGCTACCCACTGAAATGATTTTACTACTAAGATGGACAGTCAGTAATGAAAATTTTTTATTCAGCAGAATAAAATCACTAAAATAACAATAAAAAATCTATTAAATAAAGTATGAAATATTTGCTCAATGAAAAATCTCTGTCTCTGGTAAGACATCTGTATGTGAAAACATCTACCATGAACAAGACGCTTTATATTCATCAACTTTAAAAGCTCATATGACCAGGAAAATTATTTCAAATTTCCACAATGTTTAAGAATTAGAGCTCGGCTGGGTGCAGTGGCTCATGGCCGGGTGCAGTGGCTCACACCTGTAATCCTAGCACTTTGGGAGGCCAAGGTGGGTGGATTGCCTGAGCTCAGGAGTTCTAGGCCAGCCTAGGCAACATGGCAAAACACCATCTTAAAAAAAAAAAAAATCAGAGCTCTATTTTAAATTTATCTGGTTAAAGTAATAGAAGTCACTTTCATCATTACTTCCATAATGTGTAAAGTAAGACAATCCTAAGAGTATGCTGTGCAGTTCAGTTTACTCCTACATTCTGCATACATAAGAGTTTCCAAACATATTATAAGACAAAACTCTAAATGGAAATCCTTCTGACAAACTGCATATCAAGTAAGCCAAATCCTTCCCTATTTCTGTATGAAAGCTTCCTCCTAAGCTTAGAAAACTCAGGTATACTCTAGAAAATCTCAACCATGGTAGAATTTATATTTCAAATAAAAAGCAAGCATCAATGCTGGTACTGGGAACATGGCACATTAAAGTTGATACCATAAACTAACAACAATCTCCAGACAGGCTTTCAGATCAGCATTGATGTGATAAAGTTACATTTGAGTAGACACATATGAATAATCTGAAATGACAGACAAATTTCAGTTTGAAGGTAAGTTTAGAAGACATTTCTTGACATGATATTTATTCTGTCTGACCAGGAAGGAATAATTTTTATAATTCAAGAACAATCGCCACAGATTTTCAATTTCTGATCTCCTAACTCATACTTTAAGATGTTTCTCTCATGCTCCTGGAGCTGACAGACAGGCTCTAAGAACATGATACATGGATTCTGCCTCCATTTTATCTGTGCTGAGTACTTCTGCCGTTCTACTTTATAGAGCTAATTATTTTTACTATCCCTAACTAGCTTTAACTGATACAAATTGGGAATCATTCTCTCCAGATTATTGTAGAAAGTTTAAAATATAGCTTAGCTTTATTCATCATTATTCAAACTGAATAAGACTTGACAACATTTCAATTAAAACCCACTGTTTATAAATGTCAGACAAATTAAATTTTTAGGCATGCCTATATCCTGACTCATAACCTAAGAATACAAATTATTTTCTCACTGACCATTTTATCATAATGATATACTTTCAGTTTGTTAGCATGCAAATTCTCCTCTTATAAAAGTCTACATTTATAAGAAAAAAACACTTCTGCCTAATCAAAAATACTTTGTTACCTTATTGTATATTGAAATATAATATCTCAAATAGGTTCTCAAGGATGCAAATAAGCATTTAACTTAACTAAACATGAAATAAAATAAACGTTTACCATCTTTTACTAGGACTATTACACTTACCTTAAAATTAGTAGTATAAGTCTTACCTTTTTCTGGACTTAAGTTTTTATACACTTCAAGGTCTGCCATTAAATTTAATACTATTACACATTATTGGCAAGAGCAGTAAAATTTCTCTCTAAAGGCAAAGCCTTTTCCTGATACACATTCTCCAAAAAGGGTGGGAAAAAAAGGCAAAGAAATCCTTAGCAGCTCCCAGAACTTGGCTCATGCTGCCCTTTATGGCATGATGAGATCTTCACAATTCAGGCTTTACAGTGTGGAGAAAATAAATCCATGAGATATGATTATAGAACTTTGTCCCAAAGTGAAAAGCACAGCCAGATAAGCACACTGGAAGCATCTGCTCCGGGCTGCCGCTATTGTGGGAATGCAGGCGCTGTGGCTACTTTGGGTACGAGACATGCATGCTTCGTGCTGCGCTTTAAAGCCCGCAAGGCATTATGCACATTTAATGTCTGGGAAGTGTAGGTCTTTAGCCATCAAAGAAACCCTCCTCACCTTCACAGGTCATTGAGAAACAGTGATTACCGTGGGAGTGACGCAGACTGAATACAGAAAATGAACATGCACACACAGAGACTCAAAAGCACACACAGAAACGCACACACTCTCGGAAGCAAACATCAGTCCATTGGAGGCAAACACAATCCATTAAGAAATAAGCTATGATTGCTCTATAGACTACTTTTGTGCCGGTCAGGTTAAGCACATATTCAAAGCATTGAGGGTTTTCCTTGTTTTCTTGTCCTGATTTTGTCCACACACAAACATAGCAATGATCACAGAAAAGAATGGAATGTTTCCAACTTAGAAGGAATGAGGTTATAGTTTCAAAACACTTAGTTGGTGAAAGCTATTTCTCAGGTTTAAAAAAAAAAAAAATCACATCCCTGTGGATGTGGACAAAGTAAATAGTATGAATGGGTCCAAAACAAGTCAGTTTTTAGTGAATGAACCAGCACATTATTATAGTGCAATTTTCCCTAAAGTCTATGTAAGCATTATTTGCAACTTTATTCAACTTCTTTGAAGAGACAGGTAGACAGACACATGAGCAGATATATTTCATAGGCAATTTACAGTAGTCTTGCACTTAAGCATTGTAACTAAGACTCTCATCCTGAGTATTAACTCTCTTACTCCAGGATTCCCTTTCTAATATCAACCCTATTGCCATTTTCTTATCCCCAGCTGCAGTTGGCCCTCACCCACCTGTGGCCCTCAGGACTCCCAGGATCTCCCATTCTGCATATAACAGTGTCAGGCCCTTTAGGCAATTCCCACCAGGGCCATCCAGCCTAGATTGCTAACTCACCCCTAGATTCCAAGGTGCCAAGCTCTACACCAGGTCCAAGTCACCTGTTTCCCAATTTGCACATCCCCTGCCCCGATTTGCATACCACACTATTTACTTTTAAATACTCTAAGGAAACTTGGATTTCAAAGGTATATATAGGCATACACAATTAAATACATGATGAGAATATCCTTCTTGCAAGATTGAATCTGACATACATACATACATGACTATGTAAAACAACTGTTAAGAGTTTAGGAGCCTATCTGCCTGGATTCAAAGCCTGACTCTACCACCAATTAGCTGTGTGACTTTGGGCAATTTACTTAAATTATCTGCTCCTCCATTTCCTTATTTGTACAGTGGGCATAATAATAGTTTCTACTTCAAAATGTTATTGCAATAATTAATTAAATCCACAGAAAGTGCTTAGAATCACAGTTACATATTGTTATTACTATTATTAGTCTTGAAATTCTTTACATCAACCCAGACAAGGAGTGGATTTCATTGCTTAATCTGAATTAATCTGTAGTCTGAACACAAGATGGCACCCCAAAATGTGAGATATCTCAGAAATACCCATTCCTGCTAAATATTTCAAATATTTAATACTCCCAGGTAATGTTATACAAAAAGATAACGGTGATGGTGTTTTTCTAACACAAAATTAGTAACACCAAGTAATGAATGTCTAGTTCCTTTGGCTGCCCGGAACCAAAGATGCCCAAAAAGCAAAAGGCATCTTGGGTTTATCTCCTGATCAATCCTGAAAAGAGGTGAGGACTAAAGTATTTCCAACTCCCAAGAAGGTTTGGAAAGCCTTCTTTCCAAAGATCCCCCCACTTCAATCTGGGGTCAAGAAAGGAAGGGGACAAACTTTTTATTTTCTCACTTTACCCACCGGGAGTCTTGCTCATAATAAGTTCTTCAACCCCCTCACCTCTTGCTCCTGAAGCCCCAGATCCCTCCCTGAAAAGGCTGGCATGCAAGATTGGATATGGAGCCCAACCACACAAGCACATGGCGGGTTTATACTGAGTGGCTCTGGGGCACCTTTGAGGGCCAAGCCACTCACCCAGGGTGACCACATAGCAACTTCATAGGGCAGGTGGGCAAGCTTTTAAAAAGCAATTATGGCCCATAAGTGTGTGTTTGACCATCAAGGAGCACTCGCAGATTTTTGAGAGCCAAGAAATATCTACGTCTTATCAAACATCCAATTCTTCAGCAGTAGCAGATAACCTCCTATGCAGCCCATTCAAATGAATCATAAAACTTAAACACTTATCCTGAGGTTGGTAGACACTGAATGAATAACCACATCTCTGAAATCACTCCCCTGTATTCTCCCAACAGAAGGTCATGTACAATGCCAAAACTAGGCCAACAGACTTTGGGGACAATGGTGCTTCTTCTGATGGGTCACCTCAACAACCCTACAGCCGTAGAATCCTTAATTTCTTAACTGAAACCCTCACTTGAAAAGTTTGAGCCTTTTCTAGATTCATTGTAGCACAGTACTTGGCATACAGTAGGTACCTTATAGACCCTCATCAACTTTCTTCATTTTTAATCATTAGACCTAACATGGAATTACCTTCACCAATCAAGTGAAAAATTAAAAACAGTATCTCTGAGTTCAGCTTCTAAATTTACAATCAGCGAAGGACTTTACACCTCATCTCACAGCATTTTCCTCATCTTTCATACCTGAGTTCTACTTCTGATCTATTAAAGAAAACATCAGCCGGGCGCGGTGGCTCAAGCCTGTAATCCCAGCACTTTGGGAGGCCGAGGCGGGTGGATCACGAGGTCAAGAGATCGAGACCATCCTGGTCAACATGGTGAAACCCCGTCTCTACTAAAAATACAAAATATTAGCTGGGCATGGTGGCACGTGCCTGTAATGTAATCCCAGCTACTCAGGAGGCTGAGGCAGGAGAATTGCCTGAACCCAGGAGGCGGAGGATGCGGTGAGCCGAGATGGCGCCATTGCACTCCAGCCTGGGTAACAAGAGTGAAACTCCGTCTCGGGAAAAAAAAAAAAAAAAAAAAAAACACATCATAAAGTAATAGGTAAAAGTAATGGTTTCCATGGAAAATGGAGAAAGATTTAAGCCCCAGCCTTTTCCTTTACTCACTGCCTGGCCTTGGGTCATTTATGGGTAGGGTTGTCAGATGAACAGGACACCCACTTAAATTTAGATTTCAGAGAAACAACAAATAATTTTCAGTATAAGTATGTCCCATGAAATATTCCTATATTTTTACTTGGTAAATCTGACAACACTAAGTGGTGGTAGGAGGAGGACTGGTACTCTCTAAAACTCTAAGCCTAAATATCCTTACCTGGAGATGGCAGTGAAGATATTTAGGATTAGAGGTTTGGCCTAGGGGTTTGCCCTAAGGTTAAATGAGTGATAGAGGCCAAGGGCCTAGCCACTGGGGCTGCCCCAGTGGCTGAAAAAATATATCCTCAATAAATAGAAGCTAATGCAGTAAAAATGGCCTCTCCAATCACTGGCTTAAGTTCAATTAACCAAATCTCATGTTTAAAATGTTCTATACAACACTCTCTCCTCACCACAACACTCCTCTATACAACACTCCAACCTCACCAGTCATATAATTCTAAACTGAGACAAACTCAGAGTGAAAACATGGAGCATATCTGCCCCTAGGGCTCACAAGTCCAATCTTAAAACCTACTGACACAAACACAGGAACCATGTCACTTAATGAAACATTATTATAAAAGCTACCATTTACCAAACACCACTACACAAACATTATCTTCCCTTATTTTCAGAAAATTCTGCAAGGAGATATATTCATATCCATATTTTAAAGGTAAGAAAACTGAGATTCAAGTCTGACAAGATGTCTGAGATCACACAGCTGTGATGAACCAGAATTCAAACCCAAGCTGATTCCATATTTGGGCCCTTTCCCCTGGCTCTGTGTGCTAGGTTCTGGAAACCATGTATAAGGTTTTAGGCCTAATATTGAAATTCTTCATGTTTTTTCCCAGCTAGAAAATATTCCCACACAATGCCAGAAGCTTTTAGTGTGTCTGGCATAGAAACACAGAAACACTTAAAAAAAATAGTCTGTAAAGCCATAGTACCACATTATCTTAAAGCATATTCACAGTTTTCATCACAAAATGTAAACTAGAGCAAAAGCGAGTGTAGGGTGCAGGTTCACCATTGAGAGCTTCCAGTCACACCCAGCTACCCCTTCCTAAGGTCTATCCTACATACAGGTATCTCGATGAAGGGAGGATTTCACAGGAACTTTCATACTGTGCTGTTAAGTTGTACATTGAGAGCATAAACTATAACAAACTTCATGAAAAGTCGTCAGGCAAGATGCAGCAAGATTTGTAAAAATGGTTATGCTATTTACGCTAGAAAACTACCATAAGGAAATCATCAAAAACATAAAAATCCATATAAAAGGATATATCCTTTCCTTAACATTTGTTCAAATCAACTGTCTAATTGCCTACCAAACAGGGAATGATTGATTTAAATATACATTCACATTTTGGAATACTGTCTAACCATTAACGATGTCTGTAAGGCATTGCATTTACCTAGAGAATGTTTGACATACTAAGTGAAAAAAGGAGGATACAAACTACTCAATGTTATTTTAATTATGTAAAATACATGTGTATAGACACATAGAATAAATCCTATAAAAATATATGAAAAATGTTATCAGAGGTTATCCATGGCTATATCTAGGTGTTTATATTTTCTTCTAAATAGATTACTATATTTTGATTGTTTTAGAACCAGCATTTATTCATTTTATACTCAGAAAAAAAAAACATTGTTTTTAAAAAGTGTAGTCAGTTTAGTAACACTGAACTTGGAAAAAGAATATAATCCCTAGGCTGGGCGCTCGCTATGGCTCGTGCCTGTAATCCCAGCACTTTGGGAGGCCAGGAAGGGGGATCATGAGGTCAAGAGATAGAGACCAGCCTGGCCAACATGGTGAAACCCTGTCTCTACTAAAAATACAAAAATTAGCTGGGTGTGGTGGCATACGCCTGCAGTCTCAGCTACTCAGGAGGCAGAGGCAGGAGAATTGCTTGAACACAGGAGGTGGAGGTTGTCTCCAAAAAAAAAAAAAAAAAAGAATATAGCCCAAGAACAGAAAGCCATGCACCATATGTTCTCACTCATAGGTGGGTGTTGAACAACAAGAACACGTGGACTCAGGGAGAGGGGCATCACACACAGGGGACAGTTGGAGGTGGGTAGGGGAGAGACAATGGGGGGTGGGGAGGGAGGGAAGGGTGGGGAGGGATAACATGGGGAGAAATGCCAGATACAGCATGCACCTAAAGTAAAATAAATAAATAAATTTTTTTAAAAAAAGAATATAATTCCTTCTCACTAGTATAATGATGGAGAACTTTCTTTGAAGCTTACTTTGAAGCACTTTACTAAGTTCCAGATACTGTTCCTAGCATTGCACATGCCTTATTTAATCCTTATAATGTCCCTTTGAATAAGTTAGGTACAATCATTTCTCTAGTTTCAAATGTGGAATCTGAGGCAAAAAGCAGTTAAGTAACTTTCCCACAATGGCACAGCAAGTCTGTGATAGATATGGGCTTTGAATCTTTACAGAATGTCTCTAGAATCAGTGATCTTCACCAAGATGATAAGGTAATACGGAGATTTTGAGTCACTGATTTCCTTCAGTCTCTCTTTTTTTCATCTGAATGTCTCACAGAACAATCAACAGAGAAACCAGAGCTTAATTCCTTGTAGGAAATTTCACTGTGCACTCAAGTACAGAGGAAACCCAAAATCATCACTAAGAGTAACATATCGAAATCACCAATGTAGCTACGCAAACACATGAAACCTCAACAAGAATTTTCCAATGTAGGTACAACCCCAAAGAGCTAGAAGCAGGGAAACTCCCAAGTGGACCGGTCCAGGCAGATGCTCCCAGGATGAGCTAGCAGATTTCCTTCCCATAAAATATGGGTTTTTTTTTTTTACTACCACTGAGGCATTGTCCTCTCTGAGCCCTGCTTAGTCTTAAGCTGTTCCAGAGCATTCTGGAGACAATGGGCACTAATCTTTCACCAAAATCCCTTGACTCCTCAGCCATCCTTACTCAGCTAGCTGTCCTGAGCAATATCTGGCTCTGAAGCAGAGGGTAAGACTATCCATTATTTGGCCTGTGCAAATCACAGAAATAAAATATGAGCTAACCAAAGGGTTAGACTTTAGCCACTGAGAGTCTGTTAATAATCTATGGGATAGACTGGAAATGTACTTTCAGTTTTTATTTACAATGGACTCAACTCACTAAAAATGTAGTCATTGCAAATGAATGAGAGAAGGTAGAGATCATTTATCAATTCAAACAAAACCAGCACAGTTCATGCCTATGGCCTATTCATTGTCAGTACATTTGAAGAAATTGCCATTACATGAAGCTCAGAAACACCCAGAAAGTTGCTGCAACTTTTACATTAAACCCCAAGGAACAAAATGGAATGTTACTCTGAGTTCACATACAAAGGAAAAGGCACTTCACAAACCAAAGTGTATGCAATGTACCTAAATGTTCAATAATGGTAATAGTTATCTCATGACTCCTGTTTGATGCTTTATAAACTCTACCCCTTACGAAGTCCTCTAGAAACACATACCCCACATGAGCCTGACAGCAACTACAGGAAGGCTGAGAGGCAGTATTATCATTCTGTATTCACAAATGAGGAAGCTGAGCCTCCACAGCTCCCCATGACTTCCCCAAGATCATAAAACTAGTCAGTGGAGAAACTGGGCTTTCTAATGCAAACACAGTGCCCTTGCCCCAAACCAGACAAACATGCTTAAAATATGATTGTCAGCAAGAATTGCTAGACAACAGGACAACAGAGTATAACCAAACACTTAAATTGCAAACCCAGTGTACTACAAAAATTTAAGCTGAGAACAGATGAAGACCTGTAGGGGTGCAGGTTTCCATCTGATGCTTGCTAAATAAATGCTGAGAATAGACAACACAAGGGTTTTACTCAGAGAGCCGGCTTACTGTGACTATTTATTCATCACTGGAGAGATATAACTCTACATTCCAATGAGACAGAACATGACCTATAGATTACACACACTTGTCAAATAAACCAGTTTGGACACTTCCTACATTAAAAACCTAACATGCATCAGTGGACAGTAATTGCTACACATTTTTCAGCATATGAATCCCAGAACAAACTGAGTATAACCCATATTCAGTTTTGCTATGTTCCACAGAACAAAGATGAGCCACTCATTAGCCTGACTGCCTCTTTGACTGCTGCCTCCTTGATGACATTGATCTCCCCTTTGAGGCTCTTGGCTTTAAAATAAAATTTTTTCATTATTTTTTGAAAGACCTGATTGTTTATTGGTCATGTCACTTTAAATTTTATAGATTAGCATAAAAATTTACAGGCACATCATTGTCAGCTTGATGAAGATGTCAATACAATTTAAAATAAAATCTTTGGTATGCTCAGAACTTGATTTCAACTTGAGCAATCCATGAAAATAACCAAGACCTTATGGGCAAGATTTTACTCACAGGTGCTGTAAGAAACCCAGGAGTCTGCAGCTGGGGAACACTAAAGCACACTGAACTATCTTTGGTAATGACTCAGAAAATGTAAAATTCTGATTGACATTTGGGTTCCATGAACTCATACCCAGATATAAATAAAAGTACCTGGAC